GCGAAGCGAAGGAAGGAAGAGAGGGAGGGAATGATGGCGTGGAGAAGGAGAGTGATAAAGCAAAGGAGGACGAGAGGGAGGAAGAGGAAAGAGAAAGTGAAATACGAAAAGAGAAGCAAGGATGACGAGAAGGAAAGAAGGAAAGAAGGAGGAGGAAGATGGATGACAAATGAGACGAGAGAATGAAGGAGAGACACAGAGGAAATAAGGGAGAGAGAAGAGTGGAAGGATGAAACGGAAGAGGAAGGAAAGACGAAAAGAGGAAAGTGAAGAGAGAGAGAGAAATAGATAGATAGATAGATAGAGAGAGAGAGAGAGAAGGAAATCGAAGGAGGGAAAAGAGGGATGCAAACGAAAGTGTGCGAAGAAGGGAAGAGAGAAGGAAAAAAGGAAAAGGTGCAGACAAAGAAAAGCGAAATCAGATCAATATAAAAATAACACTGATTCAGAAAAAAAGTGAGGATAATATAGATTTTAAAAATAAACGAAGTGAGATGAAAAAAAATATTGAACAGAAATTATGGAAGAAGAACGTGAAAATATGGTAATAAAGAATAGTAGAAAGATAGATAGATAGACAGATAGATAGACAGGTAGATTGATAGACAGGTAGATAGATAGACAGATAGATAGACAGGTATACAGATAAACAGATAGAAAGGTAGATATACAGGTAGACAGACAGACAGATAGATAGACAGGTAGATAGATAGACAGATAGATAGACAGGTAGATAGATAGACAGATAGATAGATAGGTATATAGATAGACAGATAGATATACAGGTAGATTGACAGACAGATAGATAGACAGGTAGATAAATAGACAGATAGATAGATAGGTATATAGATAGACAGATAGACAGAAAGGTAGACATACAGATAGATAGACAGACAGATAGATAGACAGATAGATAGACAGGTAGAATGGCAAAAAATAGTTAAAACCGAGATGATAATATGTGTGGAACTGTATCGATTGAGGAATGCTCGGCCGATTCGGAACCTCGAGCTTTTGGGAAAGGTCTGCTGTGGGAGTGCTTTGCTACACGCGACATGCATATGCTGTATATGTACAAATATAAAACACACACACACATGCACGCGCACACAGACACACACACACACACACACAAACACACACACACACACACACACACACAGAGGCAGAGAGGGGCAGAAAAAAAAAACAGATACATACATAGATATATACATACACACACACACACAAACAAACACACACACACACAAACAAACACACACACACACACATATGTGTATATATATATATATATATATATATATATATATATATATATATATATATATATATATATATATATATATATATACATATATATATATATATATATATATATATATATATATATATATATATATATATATATATATATATATATATGTATATATATATATGTGTATATATATATATATATATATATATATATATATATATATATATATATATATATATATATATATATATATATATATATATATGTATACATGTGTGTATATATACATATATATACACACATGTTTGCATATCTACGTATATGTATGTAAACAACGTAAACTATCTATCAAAAAAATTGTTTTGTCATGGCAGTCAACTTCACTTCTCTCAAATGCATTTTATACATCGAAATAGAGAGATATATCGTTTAAATGAAATGAAACTAAAAAAAAAAAAAAAAAAAAAAAAAAAAAAAAAAAAAAACAAGTCTTTATGAAATTATACTCATGCGAAATGGACAGCAAAGGGAGTAGGTCCGAAAAAAAAAAAAAAAAAACAGAACGTATGAAATTAAATGTCCCCAGCATGAGAGAGTCATGGGGGGAGGGGGGGGAGGGGAGGTAGGGGGAGGAGAGGGGAAAAGAGGATTTGAATGGGGGAGGGGGGGGGGCGGGATGAGAGAGGGGGAGGGACTTTGGGGGGGGGAGAGGAAAGGGGGGGGTGAATAGGAAAGGATAAGGAGAAAGAAAGGGGAGGGGAGAGGAGGTGGAGAAGGAGGAGAGGAGAGGATACGGAGAAAAGGGGGAAGAGGAAGGGAGAATAGGTAAAGAGGTGATAGAAGAAAGGGAGAATTGGGGGGATGAGAGAGTGAAGAGAAAGAAGTGGAAGTGGGAAGCTTAAAGACAGGGAGGGAGAGGAAGAAAAGGAATAAAGGGAGGGAGAGGGAGAAAAGGAATAAAGGGAGGGAGAGAATGAGTGAAGAGAGGGAGAGAGGAGGAATGAGTGAAGTAAGGGAAGAAGGTACGAATGAAGATAGGGAAGGGGAGGAGAGAAATGTTAAAATAGGGGGTCGGGAGGGAGGGAGGGGGGGAGGGGGAGAAGGAGGGCAAGAGGGAGGAGGGGAAAGGGGAGGGGGTGGGGGAGGGAGAAGGGGAGAGAAGACTGGAGGCGAGAGGGAGGGGAGGGGAGGAGGAGAACGAGAGAGAGGATGGGAAGGGGAGGGGGAAGGGAGTCAACAGGGAGG